GTGTGTGTGTGTGTGTGTGTGTGTGTGTGTGTGTGTGTGTGTGTGTGAAAAAAAGGGGCAAGGAGGGGCTAGGGGGGACAGAGACACGCCTGAAACAAAAAATCAGGGTGTGGTCATGCAACCATCAGGAGAGAGAGGGGACGGCGTATGTGTGAATTTGAGCCTACATGTGAAGTGCTTTTTGCTGTGCTGTGCTCGGTTAGAGTGAAAATAGAATGGAGCGATCCAGTCTCCAAAAGTCCTTGTTAACGACAGTTAATTGAAAAAGCAAATTGTTTGAGATAAATAAACAATTTTAAGTTATTAAAGGAATAGCTTGATATTTCAGGAAATAGATTTTTCTTGCAGAGTTAGATGAGAAGATTGATGCCACTCTCATATCTCTATGGTAAATATGAAGCTACAGCCAAGCAGATGGTTATCGTAGCTTAGCATAAAGACTGGAAACAAGTGGAAACAGCTAACTGCTAACAAACTGCTTACCAGAACCTCTAAAGTTTACTAATTTGTATAGAATCTGCATAAAAAGTATTAATATTTTTAATGCGTGGGACTATTTCTTGACTTGGAGCTGTGACTTCCTGGAGACTTGTTGTCACTGTGAGGTTCGCAGGCAACCAGCAGAGAAAGGCTGTTTCCAGCTAGCCCACTAGCTGTTTCCTGTCTTTACGATAAGCTAAGCTAAGCTAAGCTAACCAAGCTGCTGCTGGCTCCAGCTTCATTTAACAAATTAAAGCTGCGAGCAGCGATGAACGGGCCCTCGCAATCTGCAGCGCGTCGGGGGTGCCGGCGGGACTCCGGCCTGCGCGGCCGTGAACGTCCGTGACCGTCTGACGGCGTGTCCGCGAGCGAGACGGATTTAATCCCGCGTGGACCGCCTGATGCTGGAAATGATGCTTTGCAAATAGTCCGATGCTTCCTGTATCCTCTGCCTGGCACTACAGAATGTGTGCAAACCTGCATCATGTGTCAAATGTAAACCACATTGTGTAAAAGTCATGTAAATCGGAGGTGTTTATCACAAAATCCAGATTTCCTTTCGCCAGCAGGTGGCGCTGTGAGTATTAGTGGAAATTAGCTTGTAGACATCCTCAGGCCATGAGTGTTATCAAGCATGTGAAGTTTGAGACTGTTTGGAACAAGTCCAGCTGAGTTACATCAGCTTTTTTCATGGGGAATCACGTAAAGTACCGCTACGGCTAAACGATTCTGTCAAACGTAAAGCTTTTGATAACTTTTAATCACAACGGTCTTGACATGGTACTGACAAAATTTAAAATGGATCTGATGAAGTCCCTAAGAGGAGTTCGTTAAAGTATATAGACTAGAAATAGGCCAAAATCTATTGAAAAATTACACATAAATGAAACTGGACGACTTCCAGTAGGGTTTAGAGCATGGTCCCAAGAGACTTATATTTAAGTCTCCATAGTATACATGTGCCTATCAACTTTCATACATGTAGCTCAAATGTAGCGCTGGGGCTGCTCTTTTGAAATCTTGTAGGGGGCACTATAGAGGCAATTTAAAACGGACAAGCCCAAAACCCATATACACTATGTCTTCCTATGACCTATGACACATGTACAAAGTTCCATGAGTTTTTGAGCATCTTAACCTACTAAACCATCAGCTTCCTTTTTCATGGCGAACGATGCGTCGCCACGGCAACAGCGTTCAACAAAAAACACACAATATTCTTGGCGATTTATCAGCAATGTCTTAAGGCTATCCTTACGAAATTTGAGACTCATCAGGTCACCTGGCTAGGAGGAATAAATAAAAGTATAAAATATGACATTTCCTTTAGCCAGTAGGCGGCGCTACGAATTATTGCATTTTTTTCAATTGAAATATGTTCAGACTTGAAGTAGCATCATGCATAATAAGTTTTGTGCAGATTGGATAATGTACCTTGGAGTTATAACAACTTCTTTTTTCATAAACAATCAGGCAAAATGGCCGCCACGCCACGTCAAGGTTCTTCGATGAAAGCGCACGATTTTGATAACTTGTAATCACAAAGGTCTTAAGAGCATCCTGACCAAAGTAGAAGTTGATCACATAAATTCTCTAGGAGGAGTTCGTTAAAATACGAAGGCTGAAATCTGCAAAAAGTTACAAAAAGCACAACTTCGTGGGTTTACTGTAGCGCCCCCTAGTGGTTGAAAAACAATTCTCAGGGTATGTTACAGCATGCGATGTGCACATATGCTGCAAATATTGTAATTATAGGACAAACGGTTGAGAAGTTATGTGTCTTGATATTAAGCCACGACCCTAAGAAGTTTATTGGTCCATATCTTCTAAACACTAAGAGATATCAAAAAGCTTTTGATAACGTTTGATGATCTGGATCCAATAATGATCCACAGCAAATTTGGTAGCAATCGGAGCCAGCATGTAGGAGGAGCTTGCAAAAATGTGTTTCTCACTAAATTCAATATGGCGGAAAATCGAAGTAGGCGGAGCTTAAGGGTCTCAGAGGCTTTTTTTTTAGATCTAGCGGATTGGGACATGTGTCGAATTTCAAGTAAATTGGACATACTGGCCGAGGGGCGTCGCCGGTCCGATTTGTAGGGGGCGCTGGAGAGCCATTTTTTTTACACACAAATATGCAAATCTTGGCAGCAGAGTTTCTCCACCAGACGTGACAGGTGTGCAAAATTGGTGAGTTTTCATGCATGGCAAGTACCCCTACAAGCTCCATCCCCAGAAAAATAAAAATCATAAAGAATACCCCTTACAGTTTCAATAGGGCCTTCGCTGGCCCGACGTTGTCGGTTGCTCGGGCCCTAATAATGAGAGTGGTATCAATCTTCTCGTCTGACTAGAACTATTTCATCTGAACTGTATATGACTTCAGGTTGTTGTGCTGGCTGACATCTTCTGCTGTCCTTGCCTTCTCCAGCGTACACCTTCTTCTACAAGGGTTCCAAGTACTGGAAGTTTGACAACCACCGGATGAAGAGCGAGCCAGGCTACCCCAAGTCCATCCTGAGAGACTTCATGGGCTGCAGCGTGGACCTGGACCCAGACAGAGACACGGACACAGACATTGACGCAGGACGCAAGTACCCGGACGTGAACCGCCCGCCGGTCAACCCAGACGCGGACGGACGTGACAAGGGCAAAAACCGCGAGGGGACAGACGGCGGCGCGACGGACGAGGACACGGGCAAGGGGTCGGACGACGGCAAAGACGAAGACCACCGCGAGGAGGACACCAACGAGGTGGACGTGGTGCTGAAGGTGGACGACAGCGAGGAGCGGACCATGAACATCCTGATGGTGACCATCCCGCTCGTCCTGGTGCTGTGCATCCTGGGACTGATCTACGCCATCATCAACACGCTGCAGAGCAAGGGGGCGCCGCGGCTGCTGGTGCACTGCAAGCGCTCGTTGCAGGACTGGGTCTGACCCCCTTGAACTTACGGGGACTCTGAACTTTGAACTTAAATCGGACCATAGACGCCGCCCTCCACTAATACAAGCCTCCTCCCAGTGATCCATCCGTCTCGGCGGCTCCTGCAGCTCTTATTACATGTGGTAGTAGATCCAATACTGTACTGACACACACACACACACACACACACACACACAGACTAGAAGCAAGCATTACGTCTTACTTATACATACCCACACACACACCACCCTAACCTCCTCCTGTCTCCCATGGTGCTCTACAATGCGTTGACTGTAGTCTATTTATATGAGAGAAGTTTGCACATTGTTTTTTCTAGTTTTTGTGTGACTTTTTTGTTTTTATTATTCTTATAACCAGGAAGGCCGTTCTTTTCTCTCTGCACCGCCTTCCTCCTCGGCCCTACTCTCAGTAGGAGCTTTGTCCTCGCCGATAACTTGATATCTGCTTGATATCTACAAAAGAAAACCACTGCTCCGAGCAGAGTTCGGTAGTGCTCCTTCCTCCTCTCGTCATCTTCTTCTTCACCCATTCCCTTTTGCTCTGCAGCGGGTTTGGTCACGTAGAGTCCCTCTGACAGCGATTAGGCTGTAACTCTGAAGGTTGGCTCACAGTTTCCATACAGGCACTGCTTTAGTTTTAGAGGATAATTCCAGTTTATTACTTGGATCAAATTTTTATACTTTTTTTAATAAGACCACAGTATTCATCAAGTTAATGGCTGGGACAATGTGGAGACATTGCTACAAGGATGTGGAAACCCACAGGCCTATAGAAAGACAAAGTGCAAAATTTCGAGGTGCTGATAGGCCGATTTTTTAGCATTGGGCGGAGCCAGTGTAGCTGTCTCCCCTGCTTCCAGTCTTACAGCAATCTTCCAACAACAGATAGAAACCGTGGCTAAAACTAAGAATAAAAAAAAAAAAAATAAGCCCTAAGTTGTAATAAATAGTAATTATCCTTTAAATTCAGACCGCTGCTGCCTTATTTTCCTTTTTTATCTTGTACACAGTTGGACAATAGGTCCACTTTCTTTCTTTTCCTTGTTTGGAAAGTGTTTAAAGACCTCTTTGGCTGAAAGGGTTCAGACTTTAAAGGGGATCTCCTCCCTCAACTTTCATTCATGTGGCTAATTCTCGCAGAGCTTCCTTTCTGTCAACAGTAACACCTTTCCTCTGAGCTCGAGAGGAGACGGACTAATGGTTCATTAAAAAAAGTCAGCTCGCTGTGAAATGACACAAGAGAGGGAGCATCCGTTGTATCTCTGCGTGTGTGTGTGTGTGACATAAAACAAGGGCCAAACAAAGCAAAGCCACGGCCCTTAACTTCAGGATGTAACACCACGAATGCAACACAGCAGCAGCAGGGTGCAGCTAACGTACCGCGCAGTTTTTATTAATGGACTTTTTACCGCTGGTGTTTTGTCAAAGGACAATTTTAAGAAACTTCACAGATGACCCGCAGCCCATGTGTTGTTAATATGATGTCGCTGTAAGCAGCAGGGTGGGCTCGGGCCATGCAGGCTCATGTGAACACGGACTAATCCTCTTCATTAAAGAACAGCAGGTGTGTGCAAATGCTGTTAACCCTCCGCGACCCCTAAACTAAACCTTGAACTGCCAGAACTAAAACACTCCCCACTCCCTTTTCATCTTGCAAGAGCGGAGACGGGTTGATGATCAGTGCGTGTCTTTGCTACTCATTATACCGGTGTTAGGAAGACGTACGCCTTTTCTTCCAGCTGTTCCTGGTTTACGGTTCATTTTTTGTACAGCATGAAAATCACTCAGATCATTAAAGTGCTAAAATAAATCACTTGGATGATACAACTCAAGCAAGTTTTAAGAGTTTGCTTACTGATTTTCATACTGTACAGAAATTATTGGAAACTTATGGTGAAAATTCTAAACTATTTAAATTTTAACTATTTTGTTTTGTGAAATGGTTCCTTCACCGTTGAATATTAGTAAAGGGGCTAAAACATGCACAAAGGGTTAGGGTTCAAAAACAGAGTTGTCCCAGAAAAAAAATATTCATCAAAGACAAGATAATTCCACTTGACTGATTTGGGAACACATTTTCAAGAATATCTTTGGTCCGTTGACATTACCCATATACCTTTGGGAATGAGGAGCCCTATTTCAAATATTTCAAATTCGGAAAATGTTTTTTTCTTAGGAAATCAGATTTTGAGTTTACAAACCAGCCTAAGACAAGAGAGAGAGGGGGAGAGAGAGGGTGGGAATGGACGACTTTACAGTGCGGCTTCAAATATGAATGGGAGGAAGGCTTATCTGAGGTGGCATTTAGAAGTGAGCTGCCGATCCAACCAGGGGGGGGCTCAGCTCAGCCGGCTCAGGTTACAGATGTGGACGGGGAGGGCAAGGAGGAGAGACTGGGTTTCTTTTGCAGCTGAGACAGAGGGGGGAGGGGGGTTGGGGGCTGACCTCATCCTCCTGAGTCTGCAAAGCTTGGATCTCAGCAATAAGGGAGGGGGGGGGGGGACAGAGACAGACAGAGAGAGAGAGACAGAAAGCTTTGATGGCTCTATCCCACTGGCAACAGCCCATGTGACCCACATTCTCCTGGTCAGCCCCGAGCCAGAGAGGAAAGTGTAGCCTAGTAGGTGACAGAATGTAATGTAGTACAGAATAAGATCAGAGACCTGCTCATTGATTCCAGCTGCGCCTCAGAAGCAGCAGCAGATTTTGCTTCTTCGGCCTTTGGTGCCAGTCGGACTGCGTAATGACGGACGATGCGGAGACGTACCGCTGCTGTTGAGGCGCAGACAAGTCGAGGTGAGACACATCTACGTGGACAGAGGTGAAGTTGACAGGACACTTACTGAAAGGGAAGAAAAAAAAGGAAGAGTATAATCAGCTGTCACCAGAAGTCTGCTGATTGATCTGTGGCCGGTCAATAGCAGGTGCCAGGAAACGCTGCCCTGTGTGCATCGTTCAGTTCACCTCCTAGCCATCGGGGTATGGCGGATGTAGCTAATCAGCATTAACAGCATCCTAGCCCCCCCCCCCCGCTCTGTGCTCCCTCCTATCCTGTCCTGTTCCTTCCAATCGGTCCGACGGGTCGATGCCTAAGACAGCCCGGTGTCTGGACAGGCTCAGTAGAATGTCCCCTCATTGCACCAGGCACCACGTTGTGTGTGTGTGTGTGTGTGTGTGTGTGTGTGTGGAGCTCTGGTTCATCAACTCCTCTTCTTCTCCTCTGAAACCAGCCCATAGGGGAGCTAACCAATTTAAAAAAAAAGAAGCTAAAGTAACCACTGTAAAGTCTGTTGCACCTGGAACTTTCTTGACTTGAAATCACCAGTTCCTGTTATTCAGCAGTTTGAGGGATTCTCTGCGACGCCGACCGTCTTAAAGGACAGCGAGCGGGGTAGAAATCTTGAGAGGGTTCGGAGGGAGAGCTGCCCAGGCTGATTGATGCGTGTGTGTGTGTGTGTGTGTGTGCGCGTCGAGGTGTTCAGTTAATCAGCTCCACTCTCCATAAGCGAGGCCTGTTTTTTCTGACTGTAAATCTCCCACGCTCTCTCTCTACCGCTGCCCCTCCGCAGGCTCGGCCCAGCCCTCTGAGCTCAGGGGGATCACAATAACAACAATGGCCTTCTCTCTCACACACACACACACACTCTTTCTCTCTGTCTCCTCCCCCTATTTTCTCTTTTCCTATTGCACACACAAACACGTTATTGTCTACCCCAAACCTCCCTCCCCTGAAGGGAACTAGTCCAGGCCTAGGTCCAGCCCCACACTTTTTTTTTTCTTAGATCCACCTCCTTATTCAGCAACTTTAAAACATTGTGGAAGGATTCACTGAAACACGCTGTAGTTGTCACATTCAGAAGGAGTTTTTTTATTTTTTATGTTAATGCCCTGTTTGTTTTGAAGTACAGGGCCGTGATGCAAAGTTTAGGTGAGGTGAGGATATCGCTGAGCTTTCATCTCTCTCAGGATGTGTTTCTGTGAACACTGCATGTTTGAGCATCCCTCTGTCAGGCCTGCTGTGGGCTTTCATACCTTTCTTTTTTTTTGTCTTTTTTTTTTTTTTTAAATGAGCGTTTCTGTTAAAATCGCCTCAATCAATCAAAAGGCAGGTGGTTTTTTTATTCCAGGCGTGTCTGTGCTCTCCACTGTGTGCACTTTCTCTTTTTTCTGTGTTTCAGCTTCCCGCCGTCACTGCGTAGCCCTCCACTTCTTAGTAACCACAAGCTTCAAAAAGTTGTTGCGTCAGCCCTGTGCAAAGCCTGAACTCTTCCGGAGGAAAAACCAGATCAATAAATGAAGAACTGAACAGATCAAAGATACAAAAAGAACGTCCAACGGGACTGTGTTCCGTCAGCTCTGTGGCTCGTGACGGCTCCAACACTAAAGGATAGTGGGTTGTCCAGATGTTTCTCTCACTTTCCAAAAGTGCATCCCACCTCGCTCACTGACCCCGTCCACTCTGACAGCACTCATTTTAAATCGCCACTCTGCTAACTCGACCACTCATGAAAGCGAAAAAGAATGACTCTCAGCATCTGTGTTTGTTGCTCTGCCCCGGACGAGTGCGGCGGATCGGCTTCAGACCGGCGTTGAAGCTGTTGAGCGGCCCGCTTTAACAAGAAACTGTTTTCATCCACTAACTGCAGCTACAGTAGAGAGTAGACTTTGTTGGATTCAGTCGATTCTGTACCGACCGTCAATAGTGGAGCTTGGCATCTCACACTAGGCCACTCTTCATTACTGCCATAGTAACGGTTCAGTGACTTTCTGAGCTCAACATCATCCCTGACTGGGATGAGATAGAAAAAAAAGCAGCAGTTGATCAAAACAGTTGTTTGTCTTTGATAATTGTCTTATTTTGATGTGATTTTGTGCATTTCTTTTCTCTCCAAACTTGATAGGAAATTTTATTTTGTTAATAACATTCCAATTCTTTTTTTGATTGGTTGTTAGTGTTTTATTTTTGATTATCTGTAGAAAATGTAAGATTTTATACATTTGTGTTGTTGTGTGTTCACCTCTAGTTGAGTGTGTTAACAAGCCATGCTGGACATGCACACATTAAAAAATTGCCCTGAAAATATTAAAATCAGTCTTTTTTTTGACCGGTGCTGTGCAACGCTCTGTGAACCATCTGAAGAGAACGGAGGATTACAATTCAGCACACACGTACAGTTACAGTACACACGCCCTCCGTTCTCTTCCTGCAGTGAGGTCACTGTCCATAGGGCCTTGCTTCCTGTCTCACACGGACAGGCAGCAGAACTGGCTTTATGGACCAAAAAGCCAGTGGGGGGGAGGGGGGCTCTGGCTGATTGCCAGGAAGCCATATGAACAGGGGAGGAAGTTAGTGAGCTGCTGGTAGAGCCTGTAAGAAAGTGACGGGGCTGTGGTGTCATCACATTGAGAGGAAATTCATTGTTCACGGCACCACATTTTTTTTTGATCGATTTGATCCAAACACCAAAATGACAGACTGACGGCAGATGTTTTTAATGAGATGTTTTTGTGACTCGGAGTAAGTTGTTGCCAAGTTCGAAAATGAAGCGACACCTACTCACAGACCGTTGCAGGCGTACTTGGCCCAAATTGACACCAAATTATAGAGATTTTGTCTTCATCTGAGTCCTCATGATCAATTAATGGAGGAGCCTTTCTGAGGGCTGCAAGCTTTTCCAAAGAAAAAGGTATTTTTTACAGGGATGAGAAAAAGAGACAAGTAAAATATCTTGCCAACCATTGGATGGGTTGTTGTAGTAGCGGTAACTTAAAGGGAAATAAGGAAATAAAACTGTCAACAGATACCATAAAAATGACCCAAAACAACAATACATTAGTACATCTTTTAATACTTTCCGTTGTCTGTGGTACTCGGTCAGAACCGTGCACGTTTGTTTTGAAGAAATTATAAAAAAGTTTCTTAATTTCATTTATCGTAAAACATAATTCATTCACACTCAAAAACAAAATGTATGATGGCAATCAGCTCGAAGTCGTTATATAAGACGTTTCATAAAATTTTGCCAAAAACAAAGTTAAACATTTACGAGCTGTCTGGTGGCGATGTACTCAGCAGTATGTGTAGCCTACTGCTAGTTCTAATAGCTGTTAGCCAAACACACTGTTTAAGTCAGCAAAATTAAATTAAATTTTGTACAGCCCAAAATCACAAATTTGCCTCAAAGGGCTTTACAATCTGTACACATACGACATCCTCTGTCCCACGACCCTCACATCGGTAGAGGAAAAACTCCCCCAAAAAACCCTTTAACAGGGAGAAAAGAGGGAGAAACCTTAGAGAGCAACAGAGGAGGGATCCCTCTCCCAGGATGGACAGAAGTGCACTAGAGGTCATGTGTACAGAATAAACAACATAACAGAGTTACAACACATTCAATTCAATCCGACTACTAATAATAAAAATGTGCAAACTGATTTTCCAAACACACCGTGCGGAACCCTAAAAGGGAGGGCAGCTGTGTTTTCACTAGCCGGGGGCCAGTCAGGAATAGTGAGCGAGGACTCAGCAGGCAGTCAATGGCAGCATAAAACAGGTAATAAAAGGTGTTTTGAGAAAGTGCCAGTCATTGCAACCAAGAGAGGTCCTTTGAGCATGCAGCCATGACTGGCCATCCAAAATATTATGCGGTTTGCTGCAGCAGAATGCGAGATTAGCCATGGACAGACACAGAGGTGCACACTCACTCACAGACACACATGAACACACGGTACTCATCGCATTATCCTCCTGCCGGAGATAAAACAGTAAGGCTGTTTATCGTTTAAAAATATCATGATACCAGTACCAATACCACGATCCTTAAAGTGATTTAATAGAGTACTTCATTTGATACCTTTTTTCTACTTCATTCAATACCCATAATGCATTCCTCTGCATAAAATGCCACCACTACCGCATTTATCCTTAAGAAAGGCGCATGCATTATAGCCATACTTATGAACGTATTGGAAACATCTCGGCGCGCTGAACTGCTGACTCCGTCACGTACAACACATTCGACCACTCCTAAAACTTTACGGGTTGTAGCTGCTGATGCCAATCACACGCTGCGTTCAAACGAAGAACACAAAACCGTACAAATAGTTGTTTCTAAATCTGGGTTAAAAGGTGGCTCTGAAACGTCAACAGATTCCATCAAGGATCCAGTCTCACAGATGTCTATATTTCTCCAACCACTCATGCAGCCGTCGTGATGTTTAAATATGATATATTGATATCTCGTAAATAATACACATGATAATATAATGTAAAAGATCTACACCTCTTAAATCATGCTTTTTTAAAGTTATGGTTACAGACTCTCCACCTCTAAAAAAGAGGCATCGTGCACAATAAACAATAATGGGGCATTATGATTATTCGTTTTTTTCAAATTTTCTTTTGATGTTTCGATAATATTGTTATCATGATGGCCACGATAATTGTGTAGTGAAAGTCTGATATTGTGACAGCCCTAACCCTTTTGTTTTGGTCAATGGCCCATCCAAATGATCAGAAAACACACAAAATACACCATTCTGTTTCTATTTCGGTCAGTGTGATGGCTTCAGGGTCGGCCCTATCTTGTCCCTGGTTGTTGGCTGTGTTTTGTCAGTTGGTGGGTGGAGCTGAGACCTTCGTCAGAGGTGCAGCACACCTGAGCATACTGAGCTAGGGAGGCTATAAATCAGACCTGCATGATCCTCTTACTGTCTCCCCTCGGCTATGTACCTTGTGTTTTCACACACAATCCTCAGCACTCCCTCGCACCGTCATACTGACCTGCTGACAAACACACCCTGTTGTATTGTTTGCTTAATTTACTTGATAAAACGTGTTTTCATTATTTATAGACTCATGTGTGGTCTTCCTCTTTTGTTACATACTTTTGAGCTACATTGTGACATTGAACTGTTAACCATTAACTGTTACCACTACCGTGTTTGCTTAAGGCGCCAACATTTGACAAACACAAAAAAAATCCACAACGTTAACAAAAGCAAAGAAAAGCAAAGCTGTCTTTCCTTTCCTCGTCCATCCAATGGTGGGGAAACACAAAAGCTGTAAACACAACAGAGAATCGAATGGTGAACAAGGTAGCAGACAGCCGCATATTCATACATCCAGCCTGACCAATGTTCACTCAAATGTTTTGCTCTGTTTTGACCTCCACCAGCTCCTGAGGGACTCTTGTGCCTCTTTAGCTGCTAGATGCGCCACTATGCTGCCAGCTGCTTTTGGTGCTGGGCAGGGGCTTCGATGAGAGCGGTGAGAGTCAACCAAAACAGTGAAGTCGCAAAAAAGCAAAAAAAGCTGAAAGACATTAAAATGCTCCATAGAGATGATGGGAACTGAGTTAGGTGATAGTTTTCTGTGGGTTAATTACTACGAAACAATATTTTTTTAATCATGCATGGACATTTCAACCATTGTTAATATGATATATTGATTAGAATATCTTTAATGACCATTGCCGATCCTTGGGTTGCTATAGAGTTTAGCCTTTCTGAGAAACGTACTCTTTGTTTTTTGCTGGTCTCGTGTCAGATTATTGACTTGCTTAAGAAAAGAGTCTGGCCTGTTGTAACACTTGAGGAGGAGGACGCACAACCAGCGTACAGACTCTCTCCGTCTCCTGAAAGACGACCTAGTTTTAGGTGCCCTGTTGGAATTTGTTTTTCATAAAGTCGGACATACCTCTGTGCAGTTGGTAAACAAAGAACTTTAATAGAGTGTGTCGTGTGTACGAGCTATTCGAGTGTGTCGGCTTGTTTTGCACCGTGTTTACATACTTTTAATGCTTTCCTGCTGTGTATGTGAAGTCTGAGTCGGGCCAGGACCGTCGTCAAATCTATCTGTTACAGTTATCACCAGGTACACCCCGTGGAGGACCTTAATTACTTGCAGTCATCTCTCTACTCTGGATAGAATATTAACTCACTTTTAGCTCCACTACTACACACACACACACACACACACAGAGGAAGTTAATCACTAGCAACTACAGCTAATGAATCAGCTGCAAATGTCTAAATATGGTGAAGCTGAACCACCTGTTTAAGAACACGTTGACAGAAACACACTTGTTGGGCATCCTGAGTGCTGTAAACAAACAGGCAGAGAAATAAATCACTGCGGTTTAGTTTAGATTTAAAATTTAGTTTGTTATCATTGGAACTTTGACCCCAAAAAGTATATGGTTGCGTTCGAAATTGCATAATTGCAACGCTCTCCACTACATAGACTGTTCCCACTGATGTAAACTCAAGCAACAGTTCTTCTCTGCATCACATGTCTGTTATCCATCACAACGATCCAAGACCGTTGGATGAAAATTGTTTATCACAAATGCAAATCAACAACTTCATATTTTCCAGTGTTATTTTAAGGCAAATTAAAAATATGCTTTCTACAGTACATTTCCAGTTTTCCCTGCTAGTGACCAGTCAAAGCTTGGTTCATGGATTGTTAGATAATATTACACAAATATGAGGAAGTTCAATTTATAATCCAGACTAAAAGCAACACAGCGAAATAACTGCTAAATACAGAAAGCTGGCAATAAATCGCTGACTGTGTGAACGTGTAAATGACCAGATTTATGATATCACTGTCCATCTGCAGCACGATAGATCTGACTATTAACATGTGTGTATTCTGTTACATGAATGTGTTGCAGATGGATTATTATGGTATGTATGACAACGTTTGAGCCTAATTCTTTCAGCTGCAATGCTAGCAAATAAAAAGCTGATTATATGCTCGTATCACAAATTCACATCATATATTCACTTATGTATGTCAGCTTCTTGAGCCGTGTTGAGCTAGATAGCCAAAATATACCCTATGGTTGAACTCGCTTCGTAGTACAGGCCACTGTAGAGAGTTAATGACTCTTCAAATCCTTGATCCTTGGACCATGGTCTCACTTTTTTCACATTTTTGAAAAATGTATTACGTCCATGATTCCATCCATTTTATTTAGCTTATCCGGGGCCGGGTTGCGGTCGGAGCAGGCTTAGCAGAATACTCCAGACATCCCTCTCCCCAGCAACCTTCGCTCCCAGGCCAGATAACATA